TCGTAAAATTCGAATTTGTCTGCCGGTCGTTAGTCGAGAAATCCAAAACCATCTTTCGTTTCTCTCTCGTCCTCTCTCTCTCACTCTCACTCACTCTCACCCTCTACCCGCCTCGTTTTCTCACTCCTTTTTCTCCTTCTCTCTTTCGCGGGCGACCGTACGGAATGATCTACCGGCCGTGGAACAATCTATCACTCGTACAACGAAAGTTTGACGCAATGTCAAAACGCGAGCCCGTTAATTTTTCATGTCGTTTCACCCGGAACTCGTGCTGTAACTGCGTCTCCTAACCCACGGTCGTATATACACCAGGCCGAGCTGATCCACGTCGTCGACGCTGGTCCAGCAAGTTGTCTCGACGTTGCCATTCATTATTCAGCACCTACACCGATATACGCTACCTTTCGACACGCGGACGCACTTGCGTGACGCAAGAGAACGCCGCGCGGCGTATATTCGTTTGTATTTGTATTTTGTCCGATACCATTACTCTCTCTCGAGATAGAAATCATCTCTCCGCTAGGTATCACTTGGTAGCGTCAAAATCCCTTGTACGCGATATCGCACGATCTATCTCTACGCGGCGAGCTACGCGGTGAGGAAAGCTCTCGCTAATAAGGCGAATGGGAAATGGAGAACAGAGATACGCAAGCTTCGCGCGTACACGTAAGCAGCTTGGTCGCGCGATTTTTCTGCAGACGGATCTCCAGACTTCAGCCCGATAGTCCGCGCGGAGGATGTTGAAAGGAGCGCGCTAATTGTTAGTTGTTGTTTCGTTGTTGTATATCACATTACGAAGCAGCGGCCGTCCAACTTCTCCCCGGCCGGCCGGCGCGTATTTACGAGGCCAACTTTGCTTTAGCATCGCCGATGTTTTAACTTTATCGCGGCCAAAGTATGATTTTACGAGAAGACGTGGGGGCTAAATATGCCCGCGTCGTAAAATTAACGGCGTTTCCATAAAGGAATCCGGGTGCTTGCGTTAAAACTCGATAAAAGCCAATAAAGCATCGCCACAGAGCAGCGCAGTTTAGTCGACTTTATCGCGCCCGTCCGCCCCGCGCGCGCGCGCGCGCGCGCGCGAGCGCGAGCGCGCGGGAAGTCGCGAGGCGAGACGCCGAGAGTCCGAGTGACCGCGCGCGCTCGCGCTCGCGGTTCCACCCCGTATCCATTTGCGGTGTCCTTCTCGGATAAGACGTATGCGTATCCCGCTGCGCGCGCGCGGGACCGTCGGTTTTACTGCGTCCTTTACGAAAATCCTCGCCGTATATTACCGCGCGATCTCGGGAACGAAAAATCTCTCCCGGCGGCCTCTCGGCCACTGCCGCTAAGTAAGCCGGCCGTATATACATGCGTGCACACACATGCACATACCTGCGCAAACGTGTGTGTGTGTGCTCGCGCGGGTAAACTACTATTAATTTTTATTAACCGTGACGCGCGCGCGCGCGCTAAAGTTGCGCGCGGCAGCAAAAAATTAAACGTCATAAACTTTCACGCGTGAGAACGCGAATGAGAAACGGGAAAAACGTGTCGCTCGCGCCACTTTGAAGGAAGGAATGTGCGAATAGATCGCGCGTACCTCGTGTATACTAGCGATCTGCGGAGGCGCATAACAGGTCCTGATTTACACCGCGCGATCGCGCAAACTACGCTTTATACTTACACCCCCTCGTGAAAATTGAAACGTTCCGCTCGCCCCCGCGATTTCCCCTCGCTCCCCGCCGATCCCTCCTTTTGTCTCTCTCTCTCTCTCTCTCTCTCTCTCTCTCTCTCTCTCTCTCTGTCCCTCTCTCTCTCTCTCTCTCGGTGTCTCCGAGCGGTTTTACAGTAACGATAAATTCCCGCGGAAATTGATAAAATCGAAATAAAATCTGACAGCCGCAGTACATCGTGCGCGGTAATGGGCGATATTCCTGTTTCTTGAGCATCGCGAGGACCCTCGACAGAGAGGGGGCGGTGAAGGGGAGCTGACGGACGGACGGACGAATGAAAGAGAATCGTCAATTCGTCGTTATTACAGCGCGGAAACCTATATAACGTCGTGAACGACCGTATAACAGCGGTATGCATTCGCGGGGAGTAAATAGCCGATTATCACGTGCGTTCGCGTATTATAAAATACGTACGTCATTTGGGAACCGCGCCAGGGGGAGGGGGGCAACTTCTTCCTGCGTCTCCCTCGCCTACACGGTGTGTAGCCTCGCGTGCGCGCGCGTGCGCGCGCGTTAGCTCGCTAGCGACATAATCACTTGAGAACTGGACCGCCGTATTAGCGGATGGCTCGTGGCTTTATCTGCGCCGGATACTAGCTACCTATGCTAAAATGCTGCTCGTCGCCTTTTACGCGCCAACATTTTTGCGCATCGATATCTTTATGGTAAGCGTAAAGGCGGCTTTATCGCGCAATTTAAATGCCGTTTCGAGCGTCCGCGACGCGATACCGCCCGCGATACCACAACGTTCTCTGCTTTGCAACGTTGAATCTCTCATTATCCGGGCTGCACGCGTCGGCTAATTACCTCGGCAATTGGCGCGATCTCACGGATCTTGGGCGCAGTTTTTCTTCATTCGTTTGCTTTTCGCCACGGTCCCTCGAAGAAAGACTCGCGCCCATCGGCCCCTCTCGCTCTCGCCACTGCTCGGAGAAGAAGAACAAGAAGAGAATATACAGTGCCCGCATAACTCCGAACGGCTCTAGCGGAGCGACCCGCAACGCTTTGAAGGTTTATGCCGATTCAGAAACGAGTTGATTCATGAAGACGGCACGGACCTCCTCGAGATCCATGGCTCGGAGCACCCCAGGCCGTTGCGGGTGGTCTCGCGACTTGATTTCTTGTTTCCTCGACCGCAAGCAGAACGCGGTAGCCCCACCCCGCCCCCTCCCCTCGACTGGTTCGCGAGAGAAAGAGGGAGAGAGGAGCGCGTCGGAGAAAGGTCGAGATAGAGAGACCGGACGAAAGCCAAGCGTGTGCGTTCCCCGTTGTCCCCGCATAGCTATAGCGATTGTCGATTTTTAAATGTTTACTAATAACCAGGCTTGTCCAGCAACCACCCAGAAGTCGGTCGCTTTACATTTTTATAAGTACATCCAGGCCGTCCCGGTTCCGAGAATGAGAATGTTTCATATTCATCCGCCGATCTGAAAGGACGATCCCCTACGTCGACTCGTAGAGAGACCCTCTCGTCCTTTCTTTCTCGCTCTCTATCTATCCGTATGCATTATCTTTGCTGAATTGCACACGATGCGACGCGATTAGGCCGCGCCGCCGACGATCGACATGTCGTCGCGCGACTCGCTCGAGTTGGGACTACCCAAGAGTAGAGGAGTTGTGTATTCGGACGAGCCGTGTGCGCGCGCGCGCGCGCGCGCGTGTGTGTGTGTGCGTGTGTGTGTGTGTGTGTGTGTGTAGGTGTAGGTATATTGAACGAAAAGAACGCAATGTGGGAAAACAGTGGACGCTCGGTAGCGCCCGATCGGAACGGGCGGCGTCGTGATGATGATTGGCGGTGTGTTGGGTGCACAGAAATGACAACTCGCTTGCTTTCCGTAATGATTCGTTTATTGCGAAAAGACACAGTCTGCGCGTTATGCGCGCCGATGTGAGACATCGGCGAGCTCGCGTGAAATTTTGGACACGAATGACTAAAAGGTGATGGCGATCGTTCACTCTCGACATGACATGATATGTTGGCAGCCGTTGTATCCGGAGGGGGGCTTCGTCTGCGCGTGACCTCGCCGACTCGCGACCCGGGTGTCCTCACACTTTGATCGTCCTCGAGGTCTCGACGGCCGGAAGTGCGAATTCTCCTTTGCTCTTTCCTTTTCGCTAGTTTTTTTTTTTTTTTCTTTTTTCTCTTTCTTCATTTTTCTCTCATGCAAATGGGACTCTACCGGTTCGCCGTGCGATCGCGCGAATCGACGGAAGAAGAAGCGATTGACGTTTCCCTTGGGAGGTCGCGAGTTCGGCGGCGTTTTTCGCCGCCGGTATTACGCTGTTGCTCGCGGAATACGTCCTCGGCGCAGAGACAAAAAAAGAAGACAAATAAATAAGAGAAGGTAGGATACTTGCAAGAAGAGAGCGAGAGAGAGAGAGAGAGAGAGAGAGAGAGAGAGAGAGAGAAAGAGAAAGAGAAAGAGAAAGAGAAATCAAGGGCAGTCTCTTCAGAAAAAACCTACGTCAAACTCTCCGGCCGTCCCTCGTGATCGCTGCGACTAAAACGACCCATACCTCGTCATGCACGACTGAGTCGACGTGAATCGATAATATTATAAACATTGCAATAACAATAATAATAATCATAATAATCATAATAATAATAATCGTCATTAATATGAATTATGTGTGACCTCAGGTATGCTAGTAATATTGTGTCTACTCTACATACAATACATACACTGGCCGGACTGTTCCTCTACTGGGCCTCTCTCTTCTACTATTTACAAACGCATAAATAATAATAATTATTGTATTATCGTATAGTTTTTTTTTTTTTATATATATTTATAGTATTTATAGTAGTAAGTAGAGTACGAGTTGTGTCGAGTTGACGCTAGTTAACCGTACGGTTACACCGCGATTAGCCGCCTAGTCGGGTAGTCGGGTACTACGATTTTCCATTCTCATCGTGAATAATAAACGGAGTACAGAAAATAAACTCGAGAGTCTCGGGAGTGTACGAAGGGGGAGCATAGCGGAAGGGCAGAAGGTTGCGGAGATGGCGAGAGATGAAAGGAACATCGCGTCGACGTAATCATCGAGGGGGAAGAAATCAAAGAACAAAATTGGGAAGAAGGAATTGCGGGAGGGGGGAGGCAGTATCTCGTCGTCTCCTCTGTCTTATACTGTACACTAATTACAAGATCCTTGTCCTCTGATTATTGTCAGCCACACCACACGCGAGAACGCCGCGTCGTTTGTTGCACAGCGCGTGAATTACGCGCGAGAGATTGCGTCCGTCTCTCTCTCTCTCTCTCTCTCTCTCTCTCTCTCTCTCTCTCTCTCTCTCTCTCTCTCTCTCTCTCTCTCTCTCTCTCTCTCTCTCTCTCTCTCTTTCTCTGGCACCTGTCTCCTCGTTTCTTTATCTTCCATTAACGAGCGACCGCATCGAGTCACACTCGTCCGGGTGACTTGAGTTCCTGCGTCGCGGACGCGAGGCCGCTCGCCGGATGCGGCGACTGATCGGACCCGCCCGAGGATGCCGTCGACGACGACGACGGCGACAGTCCGGAGGACGCGGTGGTCAGCAAAACACCGGCCGATCCGGCGACGCCGCCGCCGCCGCCGCCGCCGCCGCCTCCACCGCCGCCGACGACGACGGCGCCGCCGACGACGCTGCCGACGGCACCCCCGTTGATCGAGAAAGGTTTCACGTTACCGGCGACGGAGATCGCGGAGGACGAGGTCGTCAGTATGCTCGGAGCGGTGGACGGCGGCATCACGCCGCCTAATCCACCCAGAGTCCTCGAGTAGGTCTCCAGTAGGGATATGTCACCGGTGCCAAGGTGAGACGCGCCGTACAGGTTTCTGTAGAAGTCCGGATGCGGTCGTACGAATTGCGTTCCCGGATGTATCGCCGGGTGGAGAGAATGATGAGTCGGCAGCCGACTGGCCAGCGGGTTGACGAGTTTACCTGCACCACCTCCGCCGCCGCCGCCACCTCCTCCCCCGGTGGTACCACTTCCGTAGGGCGTCGTTACGAGATCCGTCATTGTGGTGGGATTCGTGTTGGAGGTCTGGTCGCCGTCCTTGCTCGCCATGTCCGCGAGCGACCAGATTCGCGGCTTCGTGGGCACCGCGCTGCCCGTGGTGGACGCGCTGGTGCTCGGCGGTAGATGATGGTGTTGGCTACCTGGCGACGTGCTCTCCGGTGACGGGTGACGTAACAGCCGGCCGTGATTCGGCGCGAGATAGGCTGGATGTTGCAGTTGCAACGGATGCCTCGGCTCTCTCTGGTCGTACAGGCATTCCGGACTGTCCGGGCCGCTATCCGCACGCGATTCGCTCCATTCGCTCTCGGTTCTACCTTGAACGCCCGCCGATCCGCCGCTGCTACTGTGCAGAAGGTCGAGACGGTGCGCCGGTCGCTCCCCGTCTTCGCTGGAACCTGTACCTGAGTCTTTCGAATCTGAACCAAGAAGAAGTCAAGTCACGTGATCCGCTGGCTAACGCCCAATTCGGAGTAATTGTCGTGTTTCCGGTTCCGATTTCGAATAGACGTGAACGGTTTTGTCGGCCGAGAGAATACGTCATAAGAATAATGTTATTATCGTCTGGACTCTCCCCTGGCCCCCCTCCCTCCCTCCCTCCCTCCCTCCCTCCGTCCTCTCATTAATATGTGCGAGATAAAATAGAAGTACAGGTTAGTGAGAAATAGTGAGAAACGTATTCGGTGGATCGAAAATAGGAAACGAGACGCATATAGAAAGTTGAGATACATCGATACGACGTGGTCGCATTATCCAGTGGACTTGACAAACGATCGAAAACGCCGTGTGTATAAAATTGGACGTGATCGTGCAACCAGACTCACCTAAACGATCCTTCTCGTCGACGCTCTTTCTCCCGCTGTCGTCGTCCTCGTTATTATTATCTTCGTCCTCGACTCGGTTTCTCGGCTCCCACGTCATCTTATTTTCCTTTTTCAAGCGTCTTCGCGCGTTCGCGAACCACGTCGACACTTGCGTTAGCGTCATCTTGGTAATAATAGCCAACATGATCTTTTCGCCCTTTGTAGGGTACGGATTTTTCTTGTGTTCGTTCAGCCACGCTTTCAGCGTGCTCGTCGTTTCCCGCGTCGCATTCTTTCGCCTCGCGCCGTTTAGATCCATGCCGTAGCTACAACAGATCGAAAAGACAAGAAAAATTACATGCGGCATGTCGTTCTCGCGCGTCAACCGCGTCGTCAGAGTTATCTTCTTAATTATCCCCCGTAATAAAACACGAGAGTTTTCCCAAACGATCCTGATGCGACCAAGGCCGTATCAACATGGGAGAGAGAGAGAGAGAGAGAGAGAGAAGGAGAGAGAGAGAGAGAGAGAAGGAGAGAGAGAGAGAGAGAGAAGGAGAGAGAGAGAGAGAGAGAGAGCCGTCCCGGCGACGGCAGGGAGCAGGAGAGAACTGGAAATTGGCGCGTAGCAGAGTAAAAAATCATTGCGTGTTCGTTTGCGCGCTCGGCAACAATCTGCGATCGGAGCAGATGCGGGACGAGCCAAGTCATCCGTTTATTATCCCGTAACTGGTCCGGTAGGATCGAAGCGGTTCTCCGGGCCTCGGCCAGGGCACCGGTCGAGGGATTAAGTTTTACACCGAGGACGTTTTCGTCGTCCGAAGGATGCGCGTGACCCAGATAGGGGCGAGCGTATACAAGCGGGGCGCGAACGATACTTTATACGAGCGAGCGAGCGAGCGAGCGAGCGAAAATAAACGAGACACCGGAGAAAACCGGGGGTGCAAAGGAGGGGGAGAGGGCAAGGTGGAGAAGAAGAAGGAGGAAGAGGAGGAGGAGGAGGAGGAGGTCAGGAGGGTCCGTTGGCGAAGGCTTCGTGGAAGCTCGCGTCGGAAAACTTATCCCATCGTGGGGCTCGTTATGCCTTCCCCAGCCGGTATAAAAGTCCGAGAGTCCTGCTCGGTTTGAGGAGCGATATAAGCGGGTAGGTAGGTACTACTTCCATCCCGAGAGCAGATCTCTATCTAACGGTTTAAGCTCCTTCCTTCCTTCCATCCTGGCCAGAGGAATGGAGCGGAAAGAGGTAGGAATTGCGAGTCAGGGTGAGAGAGAAAGAGAGAAGAGGCCAGCCTCCACCTTCACCTCCGCCTCCGCTTCGCCTGCTGCTGCCTCGCTCTGTCGGACCAGAGCGACCGACCCTCTGGGATCCCATTACTAAAAGACTAACCCTTATCAAAGATTAAACTTCGGTATAACTGCTGAATCGACGGGATCGAAATTAAATTTTCCACCACCGAGGCGACTCCGGCTGGGACTCGCCGGATACTTCTTCCTCCCTGTCCTTTTCTTTCTATTCTGTGTGTCTCTTCTCCCGCTCCCCCTCCCTCCCCCCCCCTTTTTTACTCTTTCTCTCACACTATCTGTCTGTTTTTTTTTTTTTTTTATTTTTGTCCTCGGGTTCTGCTCCTTCTTTATTCGTTTTGTGTCCTTCGTTCTTTCCGTCTGTACAATCTGAGCGGTCGCGTCTCGTTTCGTAGCGTGCGCAGGTCGCAGGACACAGTTTTCTCAACCCGACTGCTCGTTGTTGATGATATCGTGGATGTCAATGAGCTTCTTCGACGAGCTTTCACGACGATTGTACGTACACGGAAACTGGAAGTTTCGTCGCACAAGCGACGAATCGATCGAGGTCGGACCGTCGAAGCGCGTGGAAAACAGTCGCGAAGTGAACGAAAGCAAAGCATCCTGCAGAAAGCATCCTCGCGAATTGTAGCCCGTCCGACCGCGAGACACGTCCGATTCAAATTCTCAGCAGCGAATTCCTCTCGCCAAGTCGCCACCGCCTTTCGCCTTTCGCCCCGTGACCCCGTCACGGCGCGTCGCCATTATTGAGCTTTATTTTCGCCTTCGCATCCCGAGACGTAGCCGGTCGGTTGGGTGAGGCGTCGTGTATGGACGCGCGCGACTGACATCCCCGGTGTTGCGTGGCGTCGGATAGGTTAGATAGGGGTAGTGAGTGTGGAAGTGTGGCGGCGGGAGATGGGAAATTAATAAAACTGTCACTTATCTACCCTTCTCCCCGAGGCAGGCCTACACACACGGCATTTCTCGCTCCTCTATCTTGCTTCTCACCCTACGCCGCAACCCCCGTCTGTCCGCTCGCCCCTCCCGTTCACCCCCAGCTTCGTTCGCACCGACGCTGCCGCCACCTCTAGCCTCCCTCCTCCCTCCCTCCCTCTCTCTCTCTCTCTCTCTCTCTCTCTCTCTCTCTCTCTCTCTCTCTCTCTCTCTCTCTCTCTCGCTATCTCGCCGTCGCACTTTTCCCGCTTCTATTTGTCTCGCTCCGATTCCGGGCGCCCCGCATGCGGGATTTGAAGCAGCTGAAACGAAGCGCTAAACATTTCAATTTGGCATCAGGCGCTCCCATGCCGAGTGCGCGCGCGCGTTTGCCCTGATACACATCTCTCTCTCTCTCTCTCTCTCTCTCCCCTCCCTCCCCCCTCTCTCTCTCTTTCTCTCTCTGGCTCTCTCTCTCTCTCTCTGGCTCTTCATCCTCCGACCTAGTCTGTCCTCTGTGTATTCCTCGTCCCATCCGCTCGATTCCAGGTCGCAGACGTGCGCGGAAGGTCGCAGACGCGTACCGTGCTCGCCGAGTGAAAGAGAGAAAGGGAGAACGGAGGCGAAAAGGGTGGCTCTCGGATGAGAGGCGAAGCGCTGGATAGAGGCGGAGAACGCGCGAGGTGGACCGACATCGATGGAACGGAGCAGGAAAAGTGAGAGGAAGACAGAAAAGAGCCAAGAGCACCAAGAGGAGACGGGGGGTGGCTGGGGCAGAGGGTGGTGGCAGCGGCGACGGCGGCGGGGATGGCTTAACCCCGGTCTGTTTGCGAGGAGCAAATGGCGTTCTGCAGTTATTTTAAAATTCAGCCGGTGGCAGGGGGCGCGGATCGGATTAAAAAATCAGAGTGGAAGCTTGTTTCTCATGATAACAGCCAGCCGCCCCGAGAGCGGCAACTGCTGCTGCTGCTGCTGCTGCTGCTGCTACCGCTTTCTCCCGATTCCTCTTCCCTGTGCCACCGCCACGTCTCTCTATCTCTCCGCTTTCTCCATCCACGTTTCGAGCCCATTCTGTCTCTTTTCTTGGCTCACCGCGTACGGTTCTTCTCTCCCTGCCTCTCTCACTCTCCGTTGCTGCTCATTCTCCTGCATTTCGCTCGTGCTTTCTCTCTCTCTCTCTCTCTCTCTCTCTCTCTCTCTCTCTCTCTCTCTCTCTCCCTCTCTCGTTCTCAACCCCTCCCCCTCCCCGCTTGCGCTGCTGCAATTCTCCCAATCTATCTCCCGCACAGTCGCTACCTCCGGTATCATCGCCGCGGCTACCATCGCTATCGCCATCGTCAACCGCTTTAAATACGACAGCTATATATATACGGTGAGCCAGTAGAGAATATAGGCGAGCGAGCGAGCGAGCGAGCGCGGTGTACTTGCCGGAGATATAAATATATATGCAAATGCATACAGGTATATACGCTCACATGTGTACCACACGTACGCGCCCTGCACGGCTCGTCGCGTATCGTTCTTTCTTTCCGCGCGTTGTTCGTTGGCCACACGTCGCTCGTTTGCCACAGCCCGGTGATAGTGGCCCTATGCCATGCCACTTCTTCCCAATTCTTGCGATACTGTTTACAGTTTTTCGCGGAAAAACACTAAATTTCGATACATCCAACTGTTTCGCTCACGTCGCTGAAATCGATTCGCTATCCTGAATTCTCCCCCGATTGTCACGTGGAGATGCAATCGCGTCTCGTCGCATTTTACAGATATTCGCACATTTCCGCGGCGATTCTCCTCATCCGGAGATTTTTCGGGCGATGCTGCATGTCGCAGCACGCGTGTCACATTGTACAGATACCCGACGCATTGATCGATATCCGAGCCGAAGAATAAAGTTGAAGTGGTTGCTTGTGTCTCAGCATTAAAACTAATATCGTTAATTTTTGACAATCGGCAGAAGGGAACGTCGCGGTGAAAAGAGAGAGCTATTGACGAGTGCGAGATTACTGGGAAGAGTCTCGTGGAGAATTCTGAGACGAGGAGTTGTTCCACGAGTTTGCCAGTAGCTGCACGATACACGACGCGGCACGTATCGATCAACGCGAATGTAAAGTAAATTTGAATACAAACCTGCATAACGAACGCACATACATCACCATTAAGCGTCCGACGCGGTACAATGTCTCGGGCATGCTAATCTAACGTATGTACGAGGTGTTGAATTAATGCCACTGGGCAGCCTGATTAATGCAAGTCGTAAAAGTATTATCGCCGATATGCACAAGAGACACTTCTCCGCTGACGTAAACTGCATTGCTCTGTCAGCATGAATTTCCTCGCGATAATTGTAATCTTCTCGAGCGAACGGACCGCCTCTCTCTCTCTCTCTCTCTCTCTCTCTCTCTCTCTCTCTCTCTCTCTCTGTCTCTCTCTCTTCTGCTGTCCATCTTCCTCCGCGGAGGCACGCGGAGAATTGACAACACATGTACATCGATCTATCGCTAATCGCTCCTCACGAGGACGCCGGATCGTCGTCACAATTGCCTCCGATCTGATTACAAATTCGTGGAAGACTGCGATACATCCCGCATACCTCGACAATATACGGCGCGAAGGCAGCTATTTTTGACCCGGTCGGCTTATCCATCAAACCGGGTGACCGCGCATCGCGCTTGATATCCCCCGAATGGAGACCACTATCGCGAATATATTTCTCGTAGATAACAACCGGTTTCGCGCTTCCACGACCGAGCGAGTATCGCGGCAAGGTCCAGGTAGGTTTCCACGATAAGTGACGACGACGAGGAGTGTCGAGCATCGAGTCGCCCATTAAGAGTCAACCGAACGGCCATTTCTTTCGCCCTTTTCCCGTCGACCGGTTAGCGTAAACGCGTTCATCAAGATGTAGCCCTTTGAGAGGGTGAAAACGGAGGGGTCCGAGGTGACCAAGGGCAGTTCACGTCGAGGCAGGTGTGCGGTTGGCACGACTCCGCCCCTCGTCACCGGTTGTAACTAGGGTTGATATCTAACTTTGTCCTCTGTTTCGTTCTCCCCCCTAGCCCTCTCTCTCTCTCTCTCTCTCTCGCTCTTTGAAGCCGACACTCCTTTCCAGATA